CATTTATTATTTTATAATTATAAATGATTTAACTTTGACTTAGGACTTCCTATTTTAATGAGTAATTTAGTTTTTAAATTACAAATAGGTAGGTGCCATAAATACATATAACTGAATACTGAGTAGGTATAACACACGTCCCACTCACTATACCTAATAGGTACCTACTACGTGAAATGGAATATAATAACTAGATCATGAATATGAGTGTCTAGCTTGACATAGATTTCTGCGTAGTGATTATGTACGTCTATGGATATTTGTGGCGACCTAAGAAGAGCAATGCAATTGGTTAGATAGTTAATTGGGAACTAGATCAATACGTAACGTAGGTACCGCATAAGCGTATTGGTATTCCGGCGTCTATACCTATAGATAACGACATAGACAACAAAAGGAAATATGGCAACTTTTTATGGAACTATGATATTATACTCTACTCAATTATATCCAGTAAGTACACATAATTTTACTTTATATAGCCGTTTAGTTTTATTATTATTATTAAGGACTAGCTGTCCCAACCGGACCCACGTTTTTTGTTACTGCTCCGCTCCCGTGGGTTGTAGCGTGATGATATATAGCCTTCCTCGATAATGAGCTATCTAAAATTGAAAGAATTTATCCAATCGGACCAATAATACCTGAAATTAGTGCGTTCAAACAAACTCTTCAGCTTTGTATTAGTAATACAGATTTTAATAATGGGTAGGTACCTATAGCTCAGCACACAACTTAGCAGTAAATTTAAGAAACGGTACAAATATAAGCAGTTGTTATCTAAGAGAACGAAAGAATTAACTAGTTGCAGTAGATGCCCTTTATAACTAGGTTTAACTCATTAAATAATTATTGATTTAGAAACACGATTGTTATCTTGATCTTTAGCGTGTTTTTGTGACAAGGCCGAGGCCTAGTTCGACCTTGCCTCATATTTGTAACGATTACTAAAAGCACAACAGTCAATGTGCGAATGAAATTATGTTAGACGTGCAGAAGTTATATGAATAACGAATTCTTCGTTTTTCATACAACTTCTCTTCCAATACCTATAGTGAAGAATACAATGTGTGGATGCTTGATATTGAAACAGAATGGGGACACTCTGTTTCTTTCGTCTCGCTTTGGTGAAGTCCAGAACTAATAGATGACTGACATAAAATTTAAAGAGTGTGGCTATCGGAAGGCTAAGATATTAACCTATAGTCTACTAATACACAAATTTAAGTACTATATTTGTGATTCTAAAAATTAGATAATAAGTGTTGAGTTTTTAATCAAGTTAGGCTCTTAATTTCTCAATTCTTCAAGCATACATCATCGCGTCTTATTACTATCTTATCGCACATTTTACACTCTGCATTAGCTACAAGATCTTAATGTTCACATGTAATGAAAACATAAATAATTCAAAGCTATTTTGATTTTTGTCTAGTTCCACATCTAAATAATATAATACATCTTTCATTAATTATATATGCACATAAGTATAGAAGAGGATAACATTTAAAATAAGGGGACTTTAACATGGTCAAATCGGTTAAATATGTATTTTATTAATTTCATGAAACTGTGTCATATTGCAGTCAATTTTTGTCTCATGGTGCTTGTTGTTTATTGTTTACTAAAGGTTCATGTTTACCAACATTAACAAATTCAAAAATAATTTTACTTGGGTCCATTAAACATTCTTTGTTTTAAATATTATCCTTTCTGTACTGTAAACACCATACAAAGGGCAAGTAATACATATAAGTGTTATAATATTCCTAACAATATGTATTACTCATAGTACTCATAATATAGCTCATTTTTAATTTAATGTTGTTATTCTAAAATAAAAAATCGATCTATAGGACTGCAGGCATTATTGAAATTTACACAAATAAGGTTCATTTTTTCAACATGTCACAAATAAAATTATACTCACCAGTGATGCTTAAGTGCTTACAGTATCTTTGTTAAATAATATTAGCCTTGGGACAATATATTTTATCACATTATTGCATTTTGACTAGAAACTGCTTATTTTCTAGATATACACTTACTATCAGCCATCCACAGGTGGACCCAAATATATCATTGATACTTCTGTGTTGCCATAAACCGCTGAAACTGTAGGGTATAATTTCTTATTTGGAAGGCCTGTAAAGAATTAAATTATGTTTGAATAGGCTATTTGACCAATATAAAAATACAATGTGAAAAGTATGAAACAAACAAATATTTAGTTTTATTATTGAAAACTAAATTTCATTTGTTTTTAAGGTTTACAGAAAATTGAAACACATTGAAACACTATGATTCGTAAATTAACAATATTGGCCTTATAATTGCTATGACTAAGGTAATGTGGGTGGTGGGAGGTCTATGTATGGAAATATAGGGTGGTGAAGTACATTTTTTGACACCACTGTATCAGGTTAAATAAAAAATAACAAAATTAACAATTCTTTAATAAGATAATGCATTTCCTGAGAGTGCAGATGTGGTGGCAGATAAAAAGACATCTCACATTTTTTAAATACATTTCTCAAAATGTTCAAGTTGCTAATTAGTTATGGCTTATATTAAATTGCAGAGAAAAATTAAGACTAAAATATTTTTTAGCATTTTTATAAGTATAGCACTTAATGGTTAAAGTTAAAGCATTTAGACAAAGAACTTACCTCGGAATGCAACTCCTAAAAATTCATAATTTCTTTCAAATGATAAAGTATTATCTTCACAGTCTAGGATAACTCTTATGCGCTCACCCACCTGGAATATTATGACATAAAAATGTTAATAATTTTAGTTACCACTAAGGTTTTTGATCAAAAAGAATTATATTATTTTTAATTACACTTACAATATTGAAGTGTTACTGAAAAGTAGGAAATTAATAAGCTAAATAATGGTTAAATAACTACTACAAAAATTTTGTTATTGCTACAAATGAAGAATTTAAAACTGAAACTACATATGTTGACACTTGAAACCACTCTTGGATTTTAAAATTATACCATAATGATTTTTAATTTTCATAACTTACTTAATTGACTTTATATTTTTTTAATTAAATTTCATAATTTTATTATATATTTACATATATATATATATATATATATATATATATATATATATATATATATATATATAATAATTTGTTACTATCAACTAATATGGTAAATATTATACTTAATACAGAAATGGTATATTAAGTGAAAACTTTGGTTTAACTATAAACATACTAATGCCTATGAGTGTATGTCTTACCTGGTATTTAGGACAGTTATTCAAGAGAGGATAATGTCCTTGAGTATCACCATTATGTAATAAATGATTATCAACTAAATTCCAACCCCAACTCTGTTCATCGGATCCCAACAGTCCCACATATCCATGGCATTCCAATGGCGCATCTTTGGTTGATATACCTACTACGGCTACAGTACCTAAAGGGCCTTCCCATATCACCTCCCATGCATGCCTGCCATGATAAAAACCAATTTTCCCTCGACATGCATCAGTACTTTGTGCTACTGGGTTCCTGTAATATTAATATGTTTATTATAAAATTATATTCACAAAAATATTCTTGATCAAGATTTGTTGAATACTCAACAAATACCCACCTATGCAATGTAAATCCGTTTGCTTTGACATATATATTTCGAGAACAGTCATGAGGATTCCAAGCATGAAAATATGCTCTCAATTTGGATTTATAGGTGCTAACAGTGGAGAGTAAATCAGACTTCAGTACTTCTTCTGCTAATCTTTTAACACAATGCAATCGCCAAACATCATTATTTTCGTCATTAAGAACTCTATACCAAGTTTTGCAAACCAAAGCACAGTTACGGAGATCTTTTAAACGAAGATATGAGAAAATGTTTTCTAAAATATTATCAGTACAAACGACGACTGCAACTGCATAGTCGTCATAAAAATCGAATTCATTCATTATTAACATTTAGGAATTTAATTACAGCACAGTGTAGTATATGAAATCGGAATATATTGTGACGGCAACAAATAACTTTCGTTTTAGGCGTTTTCGTTAGCGCTAGCTCGTAAATCTCCAAAAATGTAAACATGTAGCACAGCACTCAACAGCAGTCAGTATGTTAAATAAACTGTCAAAAAGTTCAAATGTTCCGAATTTTTTTTCTAGTTTAGGCCTGGATACAAGTCTTTTAAGCGAACAAATGTTCTGAAATGTTCGTATAGGTACAGATTATACCTATGGAGGAATTTAGGCCAAATCTGCTGACCAACATACTACTACAGTTTTACAGCATTTAATCGAATAATTCCACGATTTTTTAATTACGACTGAAAATTTACTTTATATTCGCATCGCGAGGCAACCCTCGTGTTAAAAAATAAATTAAACAGTAATTCTTTTGAAAATGGCCAATTTATTCGATTGGTTATTATTAGGTAAAGTTGTACGTTTCAAACATTGTTCTCATCTTCGTTTCAACTTTAAAAATCCACTACAGAAAACCACGGTCTATAGACCAAATGTGGCAATTACCAATGCTAACGGACTTTATTGTACTTACCCATCGATCACTAATAAAGAACGATCGATCGATGTACTTACCTCTGATCCTACCTCTGATGATACCTCCAAGGTCTTTGGATACCTCTTAGAAGTGATCTATGTACTTACGAGAGGTAAGTATAGATCACTTCTAAAAGAAGAAACCGTAGCAAACAAACATTGATTGACAGTGACTGACTGACTGTCAAACCAGTCAAACTGTTAATGTCATTTCGTTCAGGTTAGTAATTTTTGTATTGAGATGAAAATAATTGTTTTTAATAAGTTTAACTTATTAAGTTTAAAATTTCATGTATGACATCAGCTACATTATTATTTGTTAATTTTTATTTATAAATTTGAGTACCTACCGTTTAAAAAATTCGGCAGATTTTCTATCCATTTACTTATGTTTTTATGTATTTTTGAGATTGGTTCGACTATAATTCCATATACTTTTATTTGCAGTACGTGTTCGAAATTTCTTCAGTAAAAAATGCCAGCTATCGATTCCGCTTTGAGTGATGAGGATTATATTATTTCTAAAGCCAAAGACGCTCAGAAATATAATATTCACTCGGCTAAAGCATGGATGTTAACGGCGAAAACGTTATTTCCTACTAACTTTAAAATTCAGTTTGAAGCTTACTTAATGGAAAAGCAATCTGGAAATGTTCAAGAGGCAGCCGAATGTTTCAGTTCCTTGATGAAGTCAAGGCAGAATCTTCCATCTTTGTTGCCTGAAATATCAGCAATTGCAAATGCTCTAAGATCATCGGAAGGAAGCTTTCTAAGTCAAATGTTTGATAATATTTGTCCAGATATTCAATTGACAATACTGAAGACAAGTGTTGAGAATAGTGATGACACAATGGAACACTGCCGTTTACTAGTTTTACTTTTAAAGAAATTTCCTCAGCTTGGTGTGGATAGTTTAGTGAAGACATTGATTAATGCTGAAAAATTTTTTTATGACAACCGCTATGCTAGACTTTTGGTAGTTGAAACATTGCCTCTGCTCAGTTTATTAGAATCACCAAGATTGTTACAACGCTTGGTAATTAAAGCTATAGATTTTTATAACTCTTATGTATATGATGAAAATGAACACGATATCACAGATCCTTGGCAAAGACTCTTTGGTGTCTTGGATCTGATGGGGAGACAATTGGGTTGGGATTCATTTTTTGTTAATTATAGCAACAGCTTAAACAAAGAAACATATTTTCAAAAATTATTGTCTTTAAGGAACAGTGAAGACTGTCGTCAACTTTTATATTGTGGCACAACTTTCTTTTTGAGATCTCTCTATGAACATAAATCTTTAAAAGGAAACCATATACTTGTAGAGGCCTTGTCAGACCCTGAAGTTGCCCCATCTAAAAGAAGAAAAGGTGATTTGGAAGTGACAGGTATATCATCTCATCAATTCCAAGCTGCTGCTAATTGTTGGGAGTTGCTACACAGTAATGACCTCATTTCAAGAGAGTTTACAAAACTGGCAAATCAATTGCAAACCAAGCCATGGGCGGAGGGCTTTGCTGATGAATTTGCTTTATACAGAGGAAAATATGAAGAGGCTATGCCCCAAGCAACCATAACAAATTTAACAGCTAGCATAGTAAGGGTATCTATAAACTACTTTCAAAAAAACTATACTGCCTGTGTTGAGAGTATACTTGCTGCTTTGCCCCAATTGCCAAATGTAGAAGGCATTTTAGAACCCGAATTAATTGTAGGGGGTAAACATAGACATCTACATTTTTTGCCTCTTACTAAAGTTGCCATTATGCATTATTTTTGCACATTGCTTATTAGAATTTTATTAAACACTGGTAATACTACTGATATAGCATACGGCCATATGCTTGTACTGATGCAACTGGGGTGGCCACAGGAAGAGGCTATTTTTATACATATAATTGATGTCATACGACAAAAAGGTGTGTTTCATTATCACCTTTTCACTTCCTACATTATTCACATAGACATATTAGAAGAACTGAGTTTCATTTGGAATGAACAAGGAAACAACATTGTTCTTGATATTTTACCAAATTCTCAACAACATTTAGGGCAGAGAAGAATAGGCACCAGAGGAGCAGATAAAGGTGTTAAAGAAGATTTTAAACAAGCTATGAAAGCTCAAGTTGCAAGGAGTAATGAATCTGTTTTAAATTTAATGATACATTTCATTACATCCGAAAGAGCTTTTTTTCTGCAATTAGCATAACATTATATTAACCATCAAGCCATTTTTATTCTGTGAAACAACTATGAGATATAAAATTAAACACATTTTTGTGAAATTATTATTTATTTTGATAATTATAAAATCAGCAAAATCTTAATGGCTATAATGACATGTTTAAGATAGATTTGTAAGTTTAATTGGCATTAACTCAAGTGTCTTAAATGCTCCATAGACTGGCTATGTTAATAAAAATCTAATAACATAATGCAAATTTTTCATTTTATCTTACTTTAAATGTTATTTTATGAACTACCTTCATAGGAACCTACAGCTAGTAGAAGATTGCGTCGAGTAAAATGTAGACCTTTTATAGGCGAATTTTTCGTGGCAAATGAACGCAGCAAATACTTGTCCTCCTTCTGTACAGCATTGTTGGTGGAACTTACTTCTTCACCATTTGCTTCTTCTGTGATAGCATTGAAATCCCACAATTTTATGCTACAATCCAAAGAACCTAAAATTAAAATTCAGGTATTAATAACAGTAGTTTCTCCAAACACAAAACAATTTTTTTATTTTATTCATTATATTGGTGTTAAACATATTTAATTACCTGATGATAAAATGGTACCATCACGACTAAAGGCTAGTGCATGGATGGGAGCAGTGTGTAGCGGTGGCAATATCGCACCAGGCATACCAGTGGAAATATCCCATACTATGAGCTCGCCATTACCGCCTGACGCCAGCCATCGGCCGCAAACGGAAAATGCCAAAGTAAATATTGTCGACTGAAAATCAAATGATTATACATCTTGAAATTATATACATCTTCAAAGAAATCCTAAATATTACGTAAAAACTAATAAAAAGACAATACCTTATGTCCAGTCATAATCCGAACTTGTGTTCCTGTTAAACAATCCCACAAGCGCACTGTTCTATCACTAGAACCAGTGGCCACGTAATTGGAATTTGGATGAAATTGGACACACTGAAATATAAAGTCACTGTAGTACACAATATAAATCATAAAAAACAGATTTACCTATGGCTATATAATATTTTCATTTATTTTAAGTTTTTTGCGTTGTAACTTACGTCAACATCTGATAAATGTCCTGAAAAAATTCTTAAAGGTTGATGGTGATCAGTTGCCCAAAGTCGTGCAGTACGATCATGACCAGATGTTGCAAAGTAGTGACCGTGTGGAGACCAACGAACATCCCAAACTGGCCACACATGGCCTCTATACACCACCAGACAAGTCCAGCATTGTAAGGACCATAATCTGACTGTAACATTAAAGTTATAGGCTTAGAGTATTTGTATGTTGATCTATATAAAAAAAAGGTTACAAAAATTACCAAAATAACTCACCAGTGGAATCTTCAGAAGCTGACAGCAGCATTGTTTTAAAAGGATCAAAAGCTACTTTGTAGACTGGTCCAGAGTGTCCATACAGAGATCGACATGTATCTCTATCTCTTTCTTCCATCATTCTAACAAGTACATCACCTAAGAAGTTTAAAAAATTATTACAACATATTGTACCATACTATTTTTATGTACCTACATTCAAGATTATTATTATTGCATAGTTTTGTAGTTTGAATGTAACATTCTACAATATAGAATCAACATTCAACTTTAGCTGTATTTTTTCCTTACCTGCTTCTCTGTCAATGTCAAGTAACTTTTCTGCAGACTTCATTCCACGCAATTTCACTGGAGTCAATGTCCACACCTAGTGTAAAATATTCATATAAATAATGGGAAAATTATTCAATAATTTGGATTATACCTTGTTTTGTTTTTTCATTGTTGCAACAATAGAAATAACTAAATTACATTATTGGTTCCTTGCATACCTTAATACAGGAGTTACTGAAGCCTACAGCCAGCAATGTGGAGCCATCACATATATCAGTACAAATAGCAGTATGACCACTGTTAAGTAGTGTGTAGAAACAAATTGATGGTAAACTTTCTGGTCCCAGTTGAATACGTTTTGAAGCTTCTCTTATAGCTTTACCCTTTTCAATTTTGTCTGTCTCTTTACTGAAAAATCATAATAAACAAAGTTGACAAAGATCTTTATAGTATTCTATCATCATCAGTACTATATGTCATAAATAATAATAATTTATAAATATATATTCTTACAGTTCTGGCAATGGAATTCTATCATTTGGAGGAGCATTTGGATCCGACTTAGGTTTTTTCATAAAGATATTTTCCTTTTTAGCCTTTTTCTTTTTTGGCTTATCAGGGGTTTCCTCTGCTTCTTCTTCGTCTTCTACAGGTGCAGGAAGTACTTGAATGTCAGGTTCTTTTAATAGGCCATAGTAAACCTTTGTACGATTTTCTGCAAAAATACAAAATATTAAATTGTACTGGAAAAACTAGTTTACATGAATTGACATAGTTAAATGAAGAGTACCATTTCTAGTGGCTTCACCAAGAAGTCCACCAGTAGTGGAGCGTACTTGAGCTTGTGTTCTGCCAGGACCATCATGTACATCCACCTGAATGTGGTTGTTTATGATGTTGATTATAACTGTTGAACTCTTCTGCTCTTGAAGAAAACGTTTCAGCTGTGATGATGCATCTCTAGATAGTTGTACCACAAACTTATTTGTGCTGAAATATGAAAAAGGGATGAATATTAACTGGTCTATTCTACCTCACATTATCCAAAATTTATTTGTCAAAGCCTTACCTGTAAATTTCAGCCAATTCATTTCCTTTGATTTGATCTTTATGTTTAACAATAGACAACCGCTTTAAATCATCTTGGTAATAATCTTCTTGCTCAAGACCAAACTTTTCCAAAAAATTAGCAGCATGCTCATTGTGGTCATAGAGTATTAGTGCCAGATACATATGAACAAATACTGGATACAAAAGTGTGGACAATTCATGCTATAAGAATATAACAATACAATTTATTCTCAATCCTGATATAAACTATAAAATACTAGTTAATCGTTAATGTATAAGGCTTTCTGCCACTAATAACAAACAATTAAAAGTAAATTAAGAGTCGAAGAATGAAGTATGTAACTTATTAGATGAGTTTTAATTTCTAGCTAGGTTATAGCTACCAGTTTGATCCCTTTGAATAACATTTTTCATATATTTACCTTGTAAATATCGAGTGAATTCTCAATAAATTTCTTTAAATTATCATAAGCAAACTCATAGCTGTATGGATCACTTTCGGTATGATGCGAGGTAAGAATACTTGCTAACTCGACCTCCGGAAGATCTAAATTCTCAAATTCAACATCGCCTAAGCTTGCTTCTTTCCTTAAAATATCTTCCGTACCCTAAAACATAAAAAATAATACATAAAATGAAACTGTAAGTCATCCTTGTAAATGTACAATAAATAATATTAGAACTTAATATAAACTTACCTTTAGATTATATTTCCTTAGAAGTTGTAGAACAGCTAAAAGAGGTGTATTTTTTTCTGCCATTGTACAAATAATTGATGTAACTATATTTAATTCCTAAACATTGATATTTTATTTATTGTTTTCGTGACGTATTGCCATATTTTTTCTTTGATACACACGCCACAGAGTTGACAGTTGGTTGACAGAGTGCTACCAAAGACTACCTATTATCAAGTGTAATGAATGAATGAGTGAACTGATCAACCATAGACAACAAATATTGTTGGTTGTATAGTTTAGCTACAGGTCTTTTAAACAAAGTTCAATTGTTTAACGCACATGTTGAAATTATACAAAAATATCACATAGGCACCGTTACAAATCCGATGATGCGGTTGCAAATGCGAAAATGTACCGCATCCCTAGCTCAGAGCAGCAAGAGCAACGGGATAGGTCTATCCCTTTCGTATACTGGAAAATAATAACATCAATCCTTCACGGTGTTTGGATTTTCAGCTACCCATATGAATACCAATTGGCACAAAATCGCTGGGTGTTATATATATATATATATATATATATATATATATATATGCTATAATTGAGCAAAAGCCTGTTATAAAAAATATACCTATAGTTGTAAATCAAAGGCTGTCATGGAAAGTTATTAAGCTAATAAGAACGCCCTAACGGTAGAGTTACGCGTGCGTTGCCGACGTTTAGGAATTTTGATTGGGCCTCTGGTAACCTTACTCACACGACAAAACACAACGCTGTGATTATTTCACGCTGGTTTTCTTTGAGGCCGTGGTATCACCAACCGGGCCGACCGAATTATACCGAAGCAAGGCTCTCCAACACTAAAAATATAAAATTGGAAATACTAACTTTTAAACTTTCGCGTTTCATCTTAAGAACATTATATTTACGCGGGTATTAACGCGGAAAATTATAATTTGAATACCTTGGTAGGCTTGACGTTTCGACCCGGTTGCACAGGTCGTGGTCACAAGCAGACTGAAGACGCGATGTCACAGCTCCCTGCATTCGGGTGATGAATCTTCATCTACCCCCTTATTTTCATTTTCTACCATATTAGGCCGTCTACACACTACGCTGATTATATCCACAGATGTGTTAACCGACTTTGAAGGAAAGCGAGGTTGTGTTTTGCGAAGCACTGGATTCCACGTCGACGACAATTTAAAGCCGTCCTCCCGATTGAAATTATTTGGGCATTTCTTTATTTCAACCGCTTCACGCACAAGTCTTGTATGGTAGTGGCGATCAGTGGAGAGAATTTGCGGTCGGTGGAATTCTACCCAGTGATTAGAACCAGCCTGGAGCAGGTGTTCTGCTATCGCTGATTTGTTGCTCTGTCGGTTTTTGACTGCGGCGATATGTTCTTTGAGCCTCTCAGCAATGGTCCGCTTCGTTTGCCCAATGTAGGAACTACCGCAGCTGCAGTTGATCTTATAAACCCCTGGGCTTTGTAGCGGCAGTACATCCTTCGCCGTGCCTACCTTATCATGAAGTTTAGCCTCAGGTGTGTAGATCGTCGGGATCGAAAACTTTTTAAGGACGGATCCTATCTTGTCTGTCACACCCTTGATATAAGGCATGAAGGCAGGTTGTCTGCTCACGTTTGGATGTCTGGCTCTCTTCAGCGGTCGCAATAGTCGCCCATCCCCTACACTATATCCGTTCTTTTTAAGTACCTCCTGAACATGGTCTAGCTCTTGCCCCAGACATCGCGTCTTCAGTCTGCTTGTGACCACGACCTGTGCAACCGGGTCGAAACGTCAAGCCTACCAAGGTATTCAAATTATAATTTTCCGCGTTAATACCCGCGTAAATATAATGTTCTTAAATTGGAAATAGGTACCTATGACAAAAAACTGTCATCTTTTATTCAACGTGTACTTAATTATCGTCACTTATTAATTAATGAGCTTTTTCCCGCGACTTAGTCTTCGTACTCTTTCCATCCAATCACTGCCAGCCACCTAAAGATATCGTCAGTCCACCCAGCTGAAGGGCGCCCTACACTGCGTTTGCCTACACTTAGTCTCTACTCCAGAACACACCACTGCAACTTCACTTTGCTTATCCTTACAGTCATGCTAAATACACAATTATATAGGAGGGTACAGGCGTAATAATGTAGGTATGTACGGCGGCCCAAGAGAAGGAACGGCAAGAATTTAAGTCATTATTTTCTTCTCTTTCTTTTTTAGAAAAAAGTTGTCCCACACTAGGATTTTTCCCTGTGTCATGGGTGCGTTTACAAACATACAAATTAACAAATTCACACACACAAGCCACCCAGACCCGAAACAACAATTTGTGGATCACACAGTGTTGTTCAGTGCGGGAATCGAGCCCGCGGCACGTTGCATATTTTGGTAACTCCAAAAATCTTCGCTCTTCTCATAATCTTCCTTTTTCTTGTCCTTCTAATTCGTTTAAACAATCCATTTATCTGTGGAATGGGATGCTCTTGGAAATCAGGAAAGCGACCAGTAAACAATTGTTCAGGAGTGAATTGCGTAAACATCTCGAGTGGACAGTTGGTAGCACCATCATAAAAAACCCTCATGTTATGTAGATATGTATTGTGTATAATAATGTATAGGTACTATTTATTTTGTCCTTTACTTTTAATGGGTGGGTACTAGTTAATATGTATATATTTATTTATTAACCATACTACGGTAATATATATTCTTGTATTTATACATATAAGAATATAAGTTGCATTTTGCAATCTCAAAGTTCTCTTCTTGTTGCATCTACCATACTCTCTCTGCATCACCTTAAGGTTGACTGGTAGGAATGCCTATGGCACTAAGTTCGTCTATGAAATTAATAAAGTTTAAATCAATAAAACCATTTTATATATTTTTTAAAAACGATGCCCCATGAGCGGATTTCTCTTCTGTATCGTGGATGCGTTTACAATCATACAATTTCACATACACGTCACACCCAGACCCGGAATAACAATTTGGATCACAAAGAGTTTCGTGCGGGAATTGTACCGGCAACACGTTGCGCGATAGCAAGTTGCCTAGCCACCGCGCCAACCGAGCAGTCTAAATAAAAATAAGAAGTGATTGGAAGACTTTTCCTCTTCAAAAGATTTAGTATGTTGGTAGGTCACAGGTAGGTTGGGTTGGTACGTCGGTTTCTGTACCTCGCAACCTACTCGTAACATGACAACAATCAACTAAGTAGTTTATAGTACTAAATCTGTGATTCGATATATCTAATTTTATTAGTCACTTGAAAGGTACTTAAAAACAAAACAATAATTGAAAATAGGTGTTTATTGGATAAGCTAAAAAACAAATGTAGACCTAATTGATTATAAAATATCAAACAACTAGGTATTACTGTAGGTAATAAAATTATAATCACAATGTTAATCATCAATATTCAGAACTTTAGTAATCAATTAAATAAGTATTCGACATTTGCATTGACTCTCTCTAGATTTTTATATCAAACTATGAGGAAATATCCTAAAAGCAATACTATTACAAATACTGTTTGCCTAATGCGATGATTTTAAGAAAATTTGTGTCTAAATATTAATATTTTTTTATAAAAACGATCAAGTATTAAATTGAAGACAAGGATTCTGCTTAGCAATTTATTACGCCTATAATCAGGTATTTTAATGAGATATGTCTCACGGATAATAATTAATAAATCTTTCTCCTTAATCGAGAACATATATCTAGCAAGGACAATAGCATTAGTCTTCCCGATAGAAATAATAAACACATCTTAAGATACAAAATGTAGTGCGTAACAATAATTGTTTATTCTTATTTAACACCGTAGCAAATGTACACTAATTTACGATTGAAACACGTCAGTCTTAAGATCCGTCTATTATTACCAGTGTACTGACATACATAACTATTTACATTACTAACTAATATTGCGTTAGGAGATACAGTGACAAGTATCGCATGCATCAATGTAATCTCTCAGAGTCTCACGTACAGCTTCATCTACTCGTAGCTGACTGATACACTGACAAGTAGCAACACCTACATGTTAGATATTTAGTTACTAAGTAGTTTCTATACTTGTCATAGTACAAGTACATTTAGCGACTCTTTCGGAATCTTTAGTTTAATTGAAACTCTTTTCTTTGCCGCTAACTTAACGCTGCGATACTTACACTTTTTAAATAGGGTCAGTACTAGTGTTTCTAATACTACTATTATCTATTATTGGTCGTTGATAAGGTAAAGCTATTTATTTATCCAGTGCGTTTTTATTTCATCATTTATTATTTGTCGTGTTTACAAAACATTCAAAATAGCCCGTAAAATATCTCGTTTACCGAAAAGGTAGCAGGGATTTACGCTACGTATTTTTTCGGAAGACCTCTTTATCTGTTGTACCGGGGAGAGGTCCCTACCTATCCAATTTCGTTAGATTTACGAAGCCAGTTTTTCGGTTAAGAAAAAACACAATATAACAATTTGTCAAGCAATAAAAACACACTGTATAATTATTGTAAACTTAATTTTATAAATATTTTATCTTACTCCTTGACATGAAGTCGTCGTCAAACGTAATACTAAGTCCTATATATTTATTGAAAGGAGTTGACTTAATGTCTTATCTAAACGTTATACAACTCACAATATATTGATCAGTATTAATATAATCAATATTAAAAAGCGTTGAGGATAGGTTCAATAAATATCATTTATTATTTACCTATGTAAATGCATAAAACACGTATGTATGTACGTAAGTAATTAGTCTGATATCTAAGGAATAAGTCTAATGCTTATTCTTAGACAAAAATATCAAATCACATCTAAACGGACGATAATAATAATAATTTACAGGGTAAAATTTATAGGTTCTAAGTAATATTAATACTAATGTATTAAAGCTTGATAACAATAAATACTAAGTACCTATTTAGATCGATGACCTCAGTTAAGTGAAACGTTGGGGACATTCCAGTCTAATTAACAAACTTAGTTCATTGAACTCGGCGCCGTAAAAATTGTAAAATTTGAAAACATGAGTGTTTACATCGTCTAAACATCTATGTATATGTTTAATACAAGGTAAAATCGGTAGCAAGGAAGCTTACAGGTAACCTTTCACCGTATTCTAAGTACCTAAGTATATCTACTCCATCATAGGGGTATTACGAGTGCATTGACACAATGTAGGTACGAATTGTTTGATTGCTCCGTCACTTCACTCTCTTTTCTCCTCTTTCACCCGTCTACAGAAAAGGTAGGGAGGGTATTGCTACTTACTACTCCTACCTTCGCCCCTTAACGAATAATGACATTAAAATTCTATTCACTGTATCCTCTTCTGGCCCTCATATCTCGGTATTACAAACAGACTGCACCAAAAACATCTACTATCCCAATTAAGCATATCCTTACCTATTCATTAATTTACGCATATCAAAATACATACGTGCCAATTAAAATATATTTTTACAAAACTTATCGGAAGTAATTAATTGGAATAAACTTTTCACTGGCACTTAATCAAAGTTGTTTACCTGACTGTGAAAAGTTTTATTAGTTTCAAGTCACAACGAGACTCTTATATGAATAACTTCATTCTACGACAAATCACGTGACTAACACCGGTTTCCGAAAGGCCGATTAATGTTAAAATCAATTTAATCTCTTGTCAAGTCATTTGATTGGTTGACTGAATTATCAACAACCAATCAGATGACTTGACAAGAGATTTGACACCTAGTTAGTTGATTTTAACCTTGATCGGGCTTTCGGAAACCGGGCAGAAGTCGTTATTTTCAATTAATGTAGTATCTTTGTCTCACGACAGTTGGGTACAAGTCAAAAATGGGTATGAAGACCATTAAAAAATGCACAAATTTAAAATATAAAACCATTTGAGGTTTTTTTCATTCCATCCCCGGTACCCGATCGGTAGTACCCATCAAAGTATCAACCATGTTTTGACCCTAAAGTATAGATAGGTAAGTAGATTTACTAGAGTTACTCACGTTTCTCAATTAAGAAGTAAAAAGAAGCAAAATCGGATAGTCTAGTCAAGACTGTGTAGGTTTAGGTATTACGAAGTAGATAGGTAGATACATAATACATTGTCTGGAATATAATATTATACGCAAAAAGTTAATGAAGGAACGGTCAAAGATAGTAGCGGTGTCGTAGTGCAAACAATACTTATGTTTACAAATTGATAAGATATGTATACTTATGTGTGAGTTATGCGTGGCTATTGTGTCCCGGCCGAGATTGGAGCGAGATAGATGACTATTATTTATTACTATTACCTACTTGATCCTTGGCTGTGTGTTGTTAAACCCTATTCATGTTACCTCTATTCATGTATCGTGTATTAATGTTGATCATTTGATCGTGATAATTTCGATTAAAAAATCATTAATGCCACAAAGCAGTTGGTCTTGTAAATATAAGTAGACAGCGCCGAGTTCGATGTCAGGGGTTAACAAATTTCAACAATCAATAAATACATTATTATAACGTAACAAACAGTCTTTTCAAGAATTATCTTAACCTGGATATTATTCTAAATTCTAAGTAACAAAAAATGTTCGTGCACGACATTTTGAGGTTAAGTTAATTTTTGAAGTGAATATGTGTATGATTGGGGTAGAGTTAAAGATCTTGGCTTGAACAGTTATGCGCGTCAAACGGTTTAGGCGCGACGTCTTCATAGGGCGCGACGCGGGCAGCCGCGAGCTCACGGGCTACCTTCTCCGCAGCTCCCATCACGCGGAGTAGGTTCAGACCTGCTAACTTCTTAAGTTCCTCTATACTCCAACCTTCTTCCATTAACTCAGCGAACAGCAGTGGATACGAGGAGACATCCTCTAATCCTTGAGGAGTACTGTACAAAAAAAAATATGCAAGACTTATAAAATACATTTCTTGCTGCTGATTTATAATTAAAGTGTTCAAGCATAAATAAATCATAAATTATATAAAAATAATTTTTGATTCAAAAAGTTACGAGGAAGCCGACGTCCGTAGGTATAATAGCCTACAGAACTATTAAACTTTTGCTCAAAGCATTATCCTTTATAAAGCTTCACGCTTTAGGGATTTAGATTTTTATTACTTTTGGTGCGGTATAATTTTAAACTCTTTTGAGAAAATTCAATGTAAGTATTTATAAAAATATCGGCAGCATTAAATCAATAACTATTACTAAATTAAACAAGTTTGGATTAACTATTTTATAAAACGTCTGTTTATCCCTGGAACAATAGACAAATGTGTACATAATAGCGAATGTCACATACATAATATAATATACACCCAAATTTTACTAGTTATGAGCCTGATAATACGAGGCGAGCCTACCATATACATGCCATTATTAAAAACTGTGTGACTTAGTAAAAGCTCAATAATACTTTGGCCGACTTGAGACCAGCAGTTGCACTGTGTTATTTGTTCAATGAATCATAAACAATTGGTTTTCATAAATACACACATATGTATATGTAATAGGAAATGGCCACTCGTACATAAAGCAACGTGTACTCACTAATTAATGCCGTCGTAACCAGCGCCAAGGCCTACACTGTCCACACCGGCTACATCCCTTATATGATTAATGTGTGCTGTAAGAACAGAGTATCGGTTAATTAATGACCTTTGAAACCATTATTCAATGTAAAATATCTACCGGCATAGTCAATTTTTGTACAATTTGATTTTGATGTACCTAAATTACGCATGTAGGTAGATCTTACTCACCGATGGCGTCTTGAACTGATGCAGTATCCTTACAAGTGAGGAATGACGTATAAAAATTGACCATAATGAGCCCCTTGTTAGCGGCGAGTAGGCGCAGCACGGCGTCCGGAACGTTGCGCGTCACGTTGCAGAGCGCGCGCGCCGACGAGTGTGAGAACAGCACAGGTGCACGCGACACCGCGAGCGCGTCGCGCATCGTGCGCTCCGACACGTGCGACAGATCCACCAACATGCCCAGGCGATTCATTTCCTTCACCACTATCTGTACCACCGATCAATAACAATTTGTTAACAAAAGATTGATGACCGGCAATAAGACCATCTACAAAGAAAACTGCGTAGGCTTCTCTAGCCATTTTAATTGAGTTTTTTCTTCTATTCTTTTTTCGGAAATTAGAAGCTTAAGTACGTCATTTACATAAAGGACGAGAAGAATGTTTTATAAAACGCGTCGGTATAAGCTATTGAAGTGAACTGCAAACACAGTTCCGGCTGGTTCTGGCCGTTTGCATATTTATCATAAAGTAAGTCTCTATTGTTCCTGCCGCTTTTGAAGTTCGTATGAGTTTGCGTTGCTTTAAATTAATTGCTAACTTCTTGGAACCTTTGTGGGAGTGAATTCAGAAAGCCGACGAAATTACAAAAGCGACAAATTGTCGTAGTTAGACTTTATAGTTTCTGACGTCAGTGTCACCCGTTTGATTAAATAGTCGAAGCTTGTTGTTAAAGTCCTTAAGTGGTTGCAACGTCTCGGACAGAACGGGCAACGGGGACTGGAGGCGCGCGTCATTTACTACTATCATAAAACAGCGAGAATATTGATGGCAATCTGATAATACAAATAATTTACGAGCACTTCTTAACACTCTAGAGGGTAAATGTAATTTTCAATGAAATTTGAAAATTTCAAGTAAACTATCATAATCTTTATTCAATTATCTTTAATCACAAGCTTTCATAGTTACTACTTATATTTAATAGAAGTCTTAAATTAAAGAGTTATGCGGTACCGCAGTCAGTCCTATTAAGATAAGCACCGCTTGGGGTGATTACTTTATGAAAGTAGAACTTGTATTGCAACTTGTGAGGTGCATAATGTACAGTACGATTAATTACAACAATAAAGTGAACTATTGTAATATAAAGGCAATTAAGCCAGACGAGGCGAGGCTTACTTGAGCCAGGGTTTAGCGTACGATGGTACGTTGAAGGTACCTCCTCCACATCGTGCACGCAGAGTGCAGTTTAAACAAAAGAAAATATTTCGAAAAGTATCGTTGCAGGTAAACAAAGAACTGGTTTCGCAAGCAGCCCGAGTTCATACAAAGAGAAATATTGCGGTGCGCCAGGATGTTTATGATTATGGCACACTCACTCTACTCGACGTCTCAATCTTTACGGTTGCGTTCTGACTACTTAGCTATAACACATGACTACTTGTATGTATTGTCATACTCGTTCGTACGTTGCGAGATTGCTCTTTATGAGCTCCCACATTACAAATGTGCCATACAAATCACTTTTCAAATACTTCATAAAGATTTTTTCGAAGCTACCTCCTCTGGTTGCAAACTCTAATTTACGTAGCATATACCTAAGACAATAAATTCACCCCTAACGAGCTACCATTGTACAATCTGCGAGGAGGATTATAACTTCATCTAATCTTAAGAGATTTAAGAAAGAATTAAGGGGAGATAACTCACAATTTAAACCCGTAAGAATAATCAAAGTTTTAATGTTTCATTTTTCAATCTGCATTTTAGATGCTTTATATACAATTTTGAATTAAACTGTAATTAGATCGAATCCTTTGCTGTTTTTCAAAATGTTTTGACTCTCTTTAAAATTCAGTTATAAACGTATTTTATAAATGAATACCTACTACAGTATTTTAGACCTTCACATTACGGTTGTCGTTAAGACTCGTAGTCGCTACGTTTGGCGTAGCATCGTAGGCGTTCGTAGCAGAACGTAACATTTTACGTAGCTGGACTTACCTTTCCGAATGGCGTTAGTCCACCTCGCGGCGATGGTTCAGGTTTATCTCCAGACGCGCATTCAGCCCAAGGCGTATCACATGTAGATGTGAGCGTCAGATATCGGACTCCAACCTGATACAGCGTTCTCAGGACACCAAGGGAGCCTCCGATTGCATGCCCTCCCTCCACTCCCACCAAAGAGCACAATCTGTGGTTGGCATGCGCCGTGACTATATCTATGACAAGTAAACCAACGTACAAAATATGATATCAATAATTTAGATACGCATGTTTAATAAAATTACGAATTTGATAAATGTCATCATTATGTACATTTTAGATTGTTTCTATGGGCCTATTCATTTGAGAAGAATCTATACGAGTATATTGTTATTTTTTTCTTGTAATCAAGAAAACAAAAAAAAAATGTAATGTTTAAGTCTTCACACTTCGGAAAGAAGTGAACATTTTGTTAGGTTTTTTTTTCTTTAATGGTTCCCGAGAGAACAAAGCATCAAATAGATTGTGAGTGTTGGGTGGGACTTTGAAAGAAGTCGGTAACGGCAGGTAACTGCTTAACGTGAACAACACTCATGCCATGACACAAAAGCCTAAAGAACTAAACCTCCATTAATTAAGAAGATGACTACAGAAGTCAGAAATATTGGGCACATTGTATTTGTTTACCGGAGTCAAAAGTTTTTGTGTTAAATTAAGCTGAAATTTTTCCGATATTTGGTGAGTCTATATGCAGTAAATTCACGCCCTATATAAAATATTCACAACAGAACTTGTAATAAGCGAAAAAATATAGTTGATAATTGATACATTGATATCATTTTCTAATTAGTGGACTAAGCAGAATGATTTTTGTAATTCTGGCATTGTCCATGTAAGCCGAGTAAATAAGTATAGTAAGTGTGCCAATCAAAAAATGTTTTAAATGTCCTTCATAAGTGTAGTGTGTAGTACCTGGAGTTTTGTATTAATTTACACAAAGCCCACCGCGTTTCAAATACCTCGGTGCGACATTGTTCGCAATCCAATGTTAATAATACACTTAACGTGATTAATGGACTGAGAGCGATAAGGAATTCCAATAGATGTTCTAGTTGGAGCCAAGTGATCATCTCCAGCCAACATCTATACACATAACTCTACCTTATATGTCTGTTCTACGACGGCATCGTATTTTGTAAACATATATCAAACTATAATTAGTACGTCATACTTAATTGTATTGTTTAATATTATATTTTCATACAATTTTTGTTTTGTTTTAGCTTTATTTAATTAGACCTATGATATTCAACATAATTTAGTGTTGATTCTAAGATGTTTAGTAGTTTATCGGCTGCTTTCTGCATTGCAGTAATAAACTAGATATTTATTTATTCTAAAATATCTTTAGTCACCTCGGTATTTATAAATATTCACTACCTTCTCAGTTATTCGTGAATTAAAGTTCCAGTTTCAGCGACATTTTGTTGTACTAAAAATCACGTTTTTGTTTGCGAACAATAAACGAAAGTATAAAAGCCGTTTATTTTAATTGGGTTTATTTGAATAACAAAAAAAAAACAATAAAGCTAAAGGAAATGCACGAATTAATTTAAACGATTTAATTTTTTAAAGGCTACGAAGTGAATACAATGGGTTTCTCATGCTAATACACCTTACGCATTTACATTTGTCCTTTTCGGATTCGCGCAACGTATCTACAAGTATAAGTACTTACTAATGACCGGGGCCATGACATGCACGAACCGTAATGTCTTTTTGGTAACGAGTAGAGAAACAGTCATTTTGTGGGTTGTGAAGCGCTTACCTTCGGCGGATGTGCAGAGCGTCAGCTGTGGGTGGTACTTGTCGGTGAGGCGTTGTATCAAGTCGATCTGTTCGAAAGTGAGCTGCACCGCGTCCCGGTGCTGCGCGTCGCACGGCACGTACGCGGCCCAGAACTACCGACGAACGATCACTTTGACATATAACTGATTAAATATCACGCACGACTGGAGCAATGCGCTTGGAATTTGAAATCCCGCAGAAACAGACAACCAACAAAGATTTCATAATGGAATCAGTGATGCCGATGGCGAACGTGAGCCGGCGGGTGGTGAACTCGCTGCCTCTACATATTGTATCATGTATGTTATACAAACACATCAGTCTCGTGGAATTGTGCGATGAAGTTGAAACAATTAGCTCACTATCATTTCTGTTTCGATTCAGTGTAGCGTATCCGTGATATTATTATATGTAGTTGGATATAATCATCATCACAATCAGGTTATTCTTCTCTTTTCATTTGGAAAGTTAAATAAACTTTTATTAAAAGGGAAGTTTTATTTTAAAAGACAAACGATGGAGTTTCTTGCTCGTTTTTCACCATGCGAATCTAGATTTTGGGTCGAGCGTCTATTTTCACTGACGGACACAAGTAAGAACGATTCAAGTTTGACGTTATAAAAGTCTCTTTTTATATGATATTTATATTTTCAATATTAAGTCTTATTTTTATATTATGTTGCCATTTGTCCTTTGTAGTTCTACTGTCTCTGTACGGAGTCAGTCTTTATTTTTGTCCATGAATCTTATTTTAAATAACTTGTGTGTATGTATGTATCGTCGTGTTTATAAACGAAAACAATATTGCAAGTAGTAATTCAGTTCTACCACAGTAATAACACGTTTCATTAATTATTAATCACGAGATAATGATACCGAATATCCTTTGATACCACAAAAATGTGGGTGTTATGATCCATGCGGCGCATATTAATCTTGTCGGGGGATTACGTGCAAATGGCCGACTATATTAAATGCACAATTAATTAAATCGCGCGGTTAAGGAATTTCGCTCACCTGTGCGGCCACTCGGCCTTGTTTCAGACGAGGCAGGTCGGTGTGGCTCCACGAACTTGTTGCCCATGGGGATATCGTCCGCAAATCCTCGTCGAAACTATGCGAATTTATTTAATTAGTACACAATTATTCCCGTCAAAGTTATTTTATAAGCAGGAATGTTTTCAATTTACTCATCCCTACGTTTGATAGTCAGTTTGCCGGATTATATGTACCAAACAATATGTTTTAGTGTATTATTGAAGTTAAATGTGGATTCGCAATGTATTTTTAGCATTGTTAAAAGTTTTATGTGCTGCGTGATAATCACGAGTAGACATCGTGATCGTCACTTGTAAAAAATAAGTCAGCGTTAGTTGCGTTCAAATTATAATCGCAAGAAATGAATTAGGTATGTGTGCAACGAAAGAATATATTATAATAAAAGATTACTATGACCTATGTGTAGTCAGTGTGTAGGCTATAGATACAATTTATACATATAAGCCTCCACCCACTCGATTATAAGGCATTATCCACCTACTTGTAACCTTTCGCAAGAACTTATAATTCAAGGGTTGTTTAACAAAAATAGCTCAATTTACTATCTACTAAGATTAGAAGAACGCAAGCTGAATTCTTGATAGTAACTGTATATAAGGGTAGAAAACTACCAAGGAGGATTAAATTATTTGTAAACTAAATCCCTTAATTAGTTAATTTTTAATACTATAAGGATAAAATAGATTATTCAAATAGACCCAACATACAAGTATGTAGATTTTTTTTTGTAAAAGCTTAGAACACCATTCGTATTCAGGAATGAAACAACCACAGTATAATTCTATTTACTTGCATAAACTGACGTGAAGAAAAATAAGTGAATTCAAACAAACGTAAAACTAGAAAAATCTAGCAAACATTGGTAACAGAATCGAATCTCGCACCGCACGCGTCGCCAACGACTTGGCACTGAGCCAGCGCGTCTGTCAAGAAACATTTCAATTCTTTACGCTACTTGCGAACTCTGATTCCACGTTACTATTGATCTGCAACCTTGTTATGATGGTTGGACCACCTGATGAGACATTAGGTCATAAGGTCCCTAGGATAGGATATTGTATATACATTCATTGTCGTCGTGGCCCAGAGGTGAAGACGCTCTAAGCCTGGACTTCAAACCATGAGTTCAAATTGTTGTTCAAGCTGGCGCCAAACCCTCTTGGTGTAAAAGGCGGTCTTTGCTCAGCAATCGACATTTGTAGGCTAATCAAGTCCTAGACGATGATAACATAAGACGGGATAAGATTAACTTGTCATCAAAATTTTGTATTGAAGTGAAATTGATTATTATCACAACAATAAATAATAAATCATAATAATATTTCCAAAAACATATTTATAATTTAAAACAAATGCGTTTGAAATTTCGAGTAATATTTTTGTTGATTGAACATGCGGACATTGTAACAACAATGGTAACATTAATGGCTGATTACATTTCACCCGACACTTGTGTAACAATTAAAATTTTAACGACGTAATCTCTGAAAAGTCGCCGGCCGCGGCATGACAACTCGACACGAACAAATCCGATTCGGATGTGTCGGTATGTCTAAAAGTAACACCCATGTGCCGCTTGCTAATCCTTCACACATTTTTTTGGATTTACCGCACTGGGCCGTTATTTAATCTCACCTTAAGTACCAGTGAGTAATGTGTACAATGTTACCTTACCTCAAATATTATTTCTGGCCTTTTCCCAACTAAGGGGACTTTAGAAATAACTGAAGTAATTTAGCCACCTGTGTTATACATACCAATATAATGTTGATAAATTCACATTCATATGTGTGTTGTTGTAATCTATAAAACGTCTAGGGTATTATTGTACGGAAGAATATAGTATCTAAGTGGGACTTAGTGAACGAAGACCAAATAAATACCGAAATAAGTGCAATAGATGATAAGTGGTCTAGAAGATTCAAGCCTTGATCTTAAGTGTGCTTTTACTTTGCTCGACAAAGTGGTGATTAGGTTGGTAACTCGGAACATTACAGAGTACGCACATTAATGGCAACAGAACTACGACGGACGGATGCGAGTACACAAAGTAAAGTTCACCTTTATTCCTTGCCACTAGTGATGGGCGATACCTACGCTAAAATTGTTATCGACTAACCAAATTACAACTTTCTAGAGTTACTTTCGTTAATAGTGTTGTTTTTTACAGATATGTAGGTATATGTGGTTTTAGCAATTAAGCAAAAAGGGGTTGTTCGTGGGTAATTATTCTTAAAACTATATTTTACACCAATGTTTTGTTTTGTAAAGAATTTAACTAACAGACTGAAAAAATGACTTTATAACTATACAACGGTTGTTTGAAATGAATTAAGTGGACAGGTCACATCGAGTCTTTGAGGTACCGGGACCTCGGCCCAGATTAGGAGAAGGAAAGTGGGGTTTTTTAGTCCTAGTCTCCCGGTACTCCCTCTAATCATTTAATGACTTCTCCCGCCCAGGGTTCCGGCGGGACTAGTTATTTAATGATTATCCCCTCACAAAAAAAATAATCGAGGGCATTATTACGCCCATCACTATAAGCTAGTAACGAGAGCGGCATTACGCCTCACAGATTTCGTTAGCTAGTTTAAAACAGTTGGGTTCAAAGGCTTTTACATTGCACTAAGTGGATTGATTCCCTGCTCATCTTTTATGTGCAGCGCTCCACTCTTAGATATTTGTTTAGTTCGGTTTGTTCAGCTCTTTGTTAGAACATCCTGACACATTTGCCTACTCCTGACCCTTTGCGACCCACATTTCGTATTGGCCCAGCGGAAATAAAGCTGGGGCAACTCCTAGTACACTATGTATGTAGCCTCCTAGTAACAATTAACAAATAAATATAACTAGGCACGTGTATGTATTTGAGCTTGTCATAATTATAGTTGAGTATTCTTCAGGGGCACTTAAGTATTTACGCAGGAATTTTCAGACAAAACAGTAAGGACACGGAGACGGTCCGTTTCTAAATAGGTAGTTAGAAAAATCTTATCATCATTAAATAGTTGTTGTGTACATTTATAATCCGTAACAGCCATGATGCAATGCCATGACTCAAAAGAAAAAGCAATTAATAAATTAAATAAAGACATGTTTATGACAAAACGGTCCTTAGTATAAGAAAAAAAAATAGAAATGTTCTATAATTGCTAAGTTGATATAAAACAAATATTTTTTTCCCATAACTAGATTTGTTACTACTTAATTTATTTGAAAATAAAATATTTTCGTAGAGGCACAGTTGTTCAAGTGCTCTGCTTGTAAACACCGCCGTGTACCTTAATGTTGGTGTATACATACATAAAGGAGAACAGAATACGAAAAATAATGAGCGGTACGTACTTAAAATCCTTAATTCTATTGTGTAGAAACTTCCTTATGTTCCAAGGTAGATCGTTGTGGCCGTCTATGAGTGGAGTGTCGTGTAACAAGCGCTCGGCGAGACGCAGGCGCTCGTGCAGGGGTGCTCCAGGCGGGGCCCGCAGTGCCAGCGGGCCGGCGACGCATGCGGTCCCAGCCACCAGCACCAGAATTGCCACACAGCACCAACGTCGATGCCATAAGGACAACCCTAAACATTATTTATTTTAGAATTTACGTGACAAACTCAAACATACTCAGTGACTCAATCAGATATTCAAATGCTTATTCAAATATTCCAACGATTGTTTTGAAAAGGGAGTCGTTTCGAATGAAATAACTTGTAGGGAGTGGGGAATTATTTTAATTTGTTATTTACGTACAGAAATAGTAGAGCGGTAGGCATTTAAATGATAACAAACTTCCTAATGTCCCTTGTTATGGCAAACGAAAACTTGTGTAATGTTTAACAAGTGGCTCACAGTTGACTGAGTTTATTTTATTGAGCTTTTGTGAAAATGGCCATAAAAATCAATTTGGGTCATAGCAATCGCTCGTTAGGAAGCTTCCTATAATCTTCCTGTCAGAAGCAAACCTACTCGATCACGTCGCTAGCCCCGGCTGCACTGGCGCGGCGGTCAAACTTAGAAACAGTACTGGGAATTCTTTGGCGAAGTAAAATCTGTCACTGCAGAGTCATTTGCCTTACTTGATATTTTTTATCGTTAAAACCATTTGGGAAATACCTATCCAACTTTTGAATTTTTATTGACTAGTTCCGAATTCCCCGTTGATTGTTCATCAATTTCAAAAGACTTCACAAAACAATGCCTTTATATTTTGTTGGTACATCGGTATAACATACGTAACTTTATTTCGTAACAGTAACTCCAATGGTTTTTAGGCAGCTATTGTTTGTTTCTATCTTTAACTGGGAATCGGTAAGATTTATAAAACATACTAATTTATACATGGGTTAATACATCTATTTTTTTAAATAAGATAACTGAACTGAAAGTGTTCTTACGCGAAGAGTTTCCAGTGGTTGTGGAGCTGTGGCTGGTGGTGGATGTGGTGCCGGTGGACAGCCACTGGGGGGACTTGCATGCGGTGCAGGACACGCGCCCTCCCTGTCCGCGCTCCGTTACGTCAGGCGCCGGCGTCGCCCGTTTTTTCCCCTACGCCATATTTTAATTCAATTAACACGGTTACTCGTACTACATATGTAGATGCATTGCTGTAATTTTATTCAGCTATCGCCTGAGGGATGAACAGACATTCGAGTAATAGTGGATTCCGAATCTCAATACAATTCCAATTTTATTATTGGTGTATTGAGCACTTTTTGGTGATATGATGTCACGTATATTTTTTATAATTAGTAATTTTTGCAAATCTAAATGATTGCTGGCAGGCATTTGTATCGTAAAAAAGAAATTAATTGTCTTTTTAATTTTAAAATTGTATGTTTCTAAAATATTGTGTTTATACCTTTTACTTGCATTAAAATAAAGCATGTAAGATAGTAACTATCAGTCTCATATCAATATTGGAAAATGTTTAATAACTCAGTAGAATATTTAATGTTTGCAGCGATATCCTGAATTGCATTAACCCATAAAGCTGCCTTTCTTAGTAATCGTCAGATAATGGATCATTATCCTTTGTGAGTGCGGCTATTAGCGAGTGCTCTAAATTCTGTAGTGCGAGCTCGCCTCCTAACCGCATATTCTCAAATATGCGAAAGCGTTTTAATAACACCTGCACAATTATATTAATGTTGAAAAAGCCTGGTTAGCCTTGACAAAAAATCTTTGTAGGTACAAACGCATAATGTGATTTACCTACTGATATTATATATTGCATTATTTATTTTTGAAGGCATTTAGGTCTGTAGACTTTGACAACTGACAGACAATGTTAATCCTTCGCCAGCATGGTCCATATATGTCCCCCATGGCAGTCAACTAATGTTAGTATTGATTTATAAAATAAAATAAAAGCTTTCCTGTTCTGTAAAATTGGTATTCCTAAGTTTGCTTAATGTTTGTGCCCACGCACGTTTGTGTTAACAACCTCCAAGCAATGTTACAGAAACACGAAATCATTTATCAACATTTACAGTTAAAGTGTCTGTTTAAATACCAGCGAACAGCGGGCGGTTGGTACTTAGACTGTTGGTAAGAAATGTTTCTATTAGTTTCTGAAAGTAGACATGGATCTTGTTAAGTACTTACGTGGGTATCGTAAAAAATAGACGGCAGTCTGGTGTCCTGCGGCGCCTCGCAAGTGCAGAGTGCGTGTGCGCCGCGCGGCCCGCTCATGGCCATCACGTCGCCCTCGGGGAATGTTTGTGCGTCGTCATCCACTAAATCACTGCGAGTGCTCCTCGACTCCATTGTGCTCTCGTCTCGCGTCCAAGTCTCCGATAATCTATCTCTAAATCGTTCACTTGGAAAATCATTGTATGACATTTGACGTTTGATACTTTTGCACCGACTGCGATTGTCTAAAGTAGAAAATTTTGTTCTTTCTAATCCTGGTGAGTTTCTTGTGATAAGTATATCGTTATTATCAAAACTCCTCATTTTTATCATTTTTTGTGAGGTGCGTCTATTAACATCTGAACTTAAATTATAATCTCTGAGTTTATCAAAACATTGGTCCACATTCCCAGAAAAATTAGCGTACGTAGAAACATTGCTCTTCATATCATCCTTTGCTTGATAGCCCGACGAAGTAAAAATACAACTTTGGCTGTTCACTCTCCTTTGCGACTTGTCTGCCAGTGACAACATCGATGCCTTCTTGAGAGAGCTCGTCGACCCTGATGTTATCTCGGCCAGTTGGACAGCGTTTTGATGTTTTTTTGATATTGCCTCGCCGCCCATCTTTTTTAAGTTCGATAGCTTCCTTTTTATCTTTTGCACGAGTGTATTTCTAGGATCGTAAGATATTAACTGTTTTGAAATGTAGTTCGACACACCGATAGTCCTACTTTTGTTGTATTTCCTATCAAGGCTCCGATGGGACCCGATAGTGAGCTGGCTCCGGCCAGTGTCCCGTTTAATTCTTTCCAAGTCGTAGATGTTGAGCGTGTGGCCCCGCTGGTCGACGTTCCGATGGCAATTGACAAAGTTGTTTTGTTGGACATTACAGTTGCAAACTAGATCAAAATCATGTTTCGATATGTGTTCATCTAGACATTGTCTTTGTGCGGCAAGGGCAAGGCATGCCTCACAATCGACACCAAGCAGGAGCTCGAGACTGGTGTTTCTGATGAAGCCGTCGCTAAACGTTCGAGATCGGAAGTGAGCTGCGTTTTGAGTAAGGCGTGTTTCCCAGTCCGTAGGAGCGGCACCGGCGGCTGTAGCCTGTCCGCTGGCTTCCCCATCTACCATGGTGGCGGCATCGCGGTTCACTGTGATTACTCGCGGCTGTCGAAAAACTCTGCTGTCGCTCCGCACAGAACTCCTAGACGGTGACGGCGATGGACGCTTGAAGTTATCGACTTGGATCATTTCTTCCAATTTTATGATAATCTTGTAATATCTGTAACAAATATACCGAATATAAAAAGTTTTATATAAACTGAACAAAGTAATCGAACTAAACTCTAATTGAGTGCGAACAAATATTTACGCACATTACCCAAGTGGATACGATATGTTTATTTGATAAATTTTCATTTGTGGCAGTAGCATACGAATTGGTAGAACAAATAGATTTTCTTTTTTTGTTTACGCGAGCATGTAAACAATCCCGCCGAAGGTGTTTTACCTTATTTACATATCTATCGAAAGCGAAGCCAGTTTTAGAGTTACTAACAAACACTGCGTATAGAACGTGACGCGAATTCATATTGGAATCAGAACCACGAAATAAAAAATATATCGTATCAGCGAGCCGGTTTGATTAATAATTCAATAATACATAAATACACGGTTTGCATGTATATATCTGCTCTCATAAACAATCTCCACATAACTCTTGTAACTTTACTTGGAGCTCTGGTCGGGGAGAATAATAAACGCGTGTAGTCACAGCTTAATGAGTGATGACACAAAGAGTGTTGTGTTACCCAGATTATACCCGAACTTCACGCAGAATAACAATGAAAATATCGCTGAGAATCGTCCACTATTATGTACATCGTAGTTGCTATAAAAAGAATACCTTATTTTAAGTATAAAAATTGTTTTCACAATACGTATAGTTATTAATAAGTACGAACACGAACATAGACAAGGGCCATTAACGCCATCGGATATCATAACGATCTGTGAATTCCAAAGCCGGGTTTAATTGTTTATTCTGTAGCACACCAAACATTTGAGGGCACGGATAATCCCCAATCCAATTTAGATGATTGGCTTAGTATGATACGCAATAAATAATTTTCATTTTATGTTATGGGATGACAGCTATATACTAACCCTTTTGTATAAATTAATACGTGGGTTTACCCACGGAATACAGAATACAGGGTGTTTCTGATTTGCAATTCCACACTACAGGTAGGCAGAGGTTGGAATGTTAACCTATATAAATGTCTTGAAGTTTTGGGCCTAAACACTTTGTAAAAGATATGATGAGCTGTCGAACTTAAGCAAAGTTAAATAATACGAGATCAAAAGTTCAAGTCTATCTATTACTTAATAAATAATCGAAATTTCAATTTAAACATTTCTGTTTTAATAGATTTGAAATGTACTAGTTTTTAAAACATTTACAAGCAATTACTGAGTACGAAGTTCAAGGGATTTAATGTTTGGAAAAAGTGAATTCAGTCTAAAAATTAGTAGGTATTAGTAAATACATTTGTGATTACATTTTCATGGTATTCAAGACGCCATGTTAAGTTTATGACAGACGATTCACTTTATAGTATAACACAATAGCTGCACAACAAACGTAGTCGGCTGCCTAGAACTGAACTCCGAGCAAATTTATTTCTGTTTTAAATGACCCGAGCTCTCGCTAGCGACCCTTGATTTCGCGTTTTTTAACGTTTACTCTACCGTATAAGTTCGGCAGTTAGCCTAATTATACCTACGGAAATGTCTTTGTTTTCGAAAAACTTTATCTGTTATCATAAAAGAAGCCTCCGCTGTTTAATAATATTTGCATTTAACTTGTTAATGTAAAGAAAACACTACCATTGCTGCGAAAGTTGGCAGCGCAGAATCTGCAGTTTCTAATTATTTTTCCAATACTAATGTGAGCGTTTTGCATCTGTAAAGAAATAAAAAATATATGTGTGCATTTCTCCTTCTCTTTGATGCCATAAAAAGTTGATGCAATTAAATACGTAATGAAACATGTAAAGTTTACGCAGTACCTCGTATTCATAACATTGCAGTGGTATGTACGTTATACAAGATGAAAAAAGACAAACTTGTTGCGATTGTAGGGGGATACGTGTGGCGTAACAGTACGTAAACAGACATTTTCCATTTGGTGGTGTGTTCCAAACCACGCAGTGTACGAACACAATACAGTAACTTGTGTAACTTTTTCTTTTGGCTATGTAGGCTGACCACTTTTGCGGTTCCGATCACTCTACAAACAACCCTCGTTTGAACCTCGTTACCAACAAGATTCACTATACAAATAACTCAACTGCCATTTTAAATCACATTGAACTATTGTAAGTGAAACTTAAAAAGATATGCCTTGAGCTCTAATTAGTTTTCCTTACAATTTTCGACACAAAAGAGTGCCTGGAGGATACTTCAACGTCTTTTTCGATGGTATCGGCATGAAGTTCGTTGTAATTATAGATTAAAAGAATTTTTCTCTCGTCTATTCTGTGTGAGATGTCCCTTATTGCGTAATTCAATTATTTTACGTAAGTATGACAGTTACGTAGGTACCTATGTATATACATGTCCTGGAAATGTCCCGTGTAGTGATTTTCGCGCTCGTTATTATGCAAATTTGTTTCGGCTGATGACACTACACATTACATTTGCATTTATTCTAAGGTTTTATAACGTAAAAGATATACTGAGATTTAATATAGTAGAGTATCTCCGGTCACCGTAAGCGCGGATCTGCGGACAACCAGAACCAGATCCGAGCATATGGCGCGTAGCGTAGAAGAAGGAACAGGGGCGTTTTTAGTCAGTAAGTCTAACACACCCTCTCGCCCAGAGTGAGGCCTGGGCGGGGAAGTCATTTGATAATATTCCCCTTACAAAAAGATAGAATTTTGATATCTATTAGACATTTTGACGGACATTCGCGTAACGCACAATATTTTAAAATCCGCCACGGCCATGTTGCCTACATAGGTTAATAAAGTGTGTGTGTCGGGTCAGTTATTGTTTCCGTCTTCCTATAGAACAAGCTTGTATACTCCCAAATCAAATTGGAACTAGTCCGACGAGCGAATAGTGTAAACGAACAAGGAACATATTGGGGGCAAAGCAGAAACAATTGATGTACCTACGAGGCTGGCTGTGAGAGCGAATTGATGGTGTGGACGATTTTTTATTAAAAATACCAAACACCAGTAAATATGCCAAGTAGATGTAACTGTCAAAAGTATTAACAAGAAATTACGAAAAGGTAAATAAGGTGGGTAACAAAAGTAAGAAGTTGCCAATTTGTATCTCAAATTGTAAATCTAAATCGGAACATGGAATCAGGATGACATACACTTTCGTAAAAACGTTTGAAACAGTAAATATAACACAGCAACGTTCGAATAAAAAAAACAATTTAAATAGAACATAATTATAGGTACCAATATTTATATTGCTACAATATTATTGTTGGAAAAGTCTAAGGTCAAATTATATTTTTTGATGAAGCATTTAACCAGTCGCTTGATTTATAGTTACACGAAAATTGGTAGAATTAATGCAACAGCTACAAAGTTTTCCACTAGGTATTGTGGCATAATTCTATAAACAAAACGTGTATATAGTTAGATATGTACTCCTGAAAATCGGAAACCAAATTCACTCGAAATAGAATCACGTACTAAAGCCATGGTTTCAGTTTGCATTACGGTATTCCTTCCACCCTTTATAAATATATAATGTATCCCTACATAAACAAATTTATTGAATGTTGAATAAAACATTGCCAGGCTAAATAATACCTTATTATATCAAATTTGAGCAATGTTCAGTTGTCCCAATTCGTTCCACGACCTGATTTGAATAGTTCCAAAACTTACGACTATACTCCGATGCAATAGCGGTGACAATTGCGATGCTCACGATTCGCGCCAAGCAAGTGCAGACATCGACGTGAATAGAAGATCCCTACGAGACGAGACACAGCCCCGTACGACGGGAATAAGCCATTTCTGTTTTATGTTTGTTTTGCTCAGCCACGACAATACTCCCATTGTGTCGACTGCATATTTCAACATTCATTATCAACAGATTACGGCAATCTGCATCCCATATTGTCAGCTTGTGACCTTTTCAAATGTAAATAAATGCTTTTTCGCTGCGTATTTTTGTTTACATTTTATCACGACCAGTAAAATAAGTTTAAAGTTCCAAAACGAGCAAAATCCAATAAATGGCCAGAGCGCAATACTAAGAAATGAAACTGCTTCATCGCTACGGTAACATAATTTTACAAGTATCTTTGTTTACGATGTCCTACTTTATTCATGAAGGTCTTTTTAAAAGTGATTTTGCTAACGAAAAGAAATCGTTCAGGCATAATTGATATTTTCTTAAAGGACTTCTTGTTAAGAATATTTATTTTAAAAGTAGTCAATATTTGTATAAACTTTAATACGTTTCAACGATACTTGATCGAAGTATATTTTATACGCGATATTAGCTTTACGTTATTATCTGTTTCTATTAATATTAAAGTACTAACTTAACTTGTTAACCTTTGATTTTACTCGTACTATGTATCCCACCTTAATTACAAACGCATCAGGGAAAAAAACTACGAACTGTACGCACACGCGTTACAAATACCAACATCTTTAGATGGACCTTCATTGTTTGACCATCTCTGAATACAGTTCCATTAACAGAATAATGGAAATATCTACGGGAGAGAAAATAAAATGTGGAGAAAGTTTTCTCTGCAGGTAACTAAGCGGTCATTTGTAAGCGGTCGAGAAAAATGCTCACTCGTCCAGAAAAAATAATCGAATGAATGACGGCTGTGTATATATACATATACATTAAACGCGGTTTGTAGCATCAGATCAGTAGGTCTCGATGAAACGATTACACAATCAAGCTAAGACAATCGACTCCAATTTTAAATGTAACCACTCTGACGAATGAAATAATTATTGGTACAATACACTGATTGGCAGCTTACGCCAGTCTACTGATTGGTAATCATTCTCCGCTCTTGTTCCCAATCTACTGTTTATTCTGATAATAGAACGCGGACGCGATGAGAGTCGATCGCGAAACTCGAAAGTCACCCTCCAGGATTACTGGAATTTTGATTATCTCGAGCGATTTTTTCTTCTTTCAATTAAGTGAATGGGTAGATAGGGTATTAATTCCAATACAATCTGTAG